AAATATATAAATGTATATACATGTAAATATTTTCAAAATATATACTGTATGTGTTTTTATATATACATAATAAATATACACAGTACACATATAGTATACATATATTATGTAAACAAAAACTTTGATTTTGAATGTGATTAATCGCGATTAATAATTTGACAGCACATATATATATATATATATATATATATGTTAGTGCTGTCAAAATTAGTGCATTAATGTAGTCAATTAATTGTAAAAATTTTCGAGTATAACAGCGTTAAAAATATTTAACGCAGGGGCGGGACTAGGGTTGACCACCCCACTCAATTCTGTCTCTCTTTTCTTGACAAGAATTGTGTTTACTTAGACTTAGAACGTCTTTACGAGTACATCAAACAGGAGACTTTTCAGACGCGCTCTCCAGCTTCACCTCAGCGACAGGCGCTAGCCAAACAAGCGCAGAAACGGTAGCGATGACGAGAAGCTTCAGTAGAACAACAGAGAACTGTGGTCAGATGAGATGTTGTCAGGCCATATGTCAGTAAAAACTAATCGTCCTGTCCTGTCAGCCGTTATACTGTCCGCCTGCTGTAGCTGGTATCATTTCATATTAAAGCGTGAATGAAACTACGAGCATGCATGTAAGATCCGCATCACATTCAGCAGCGGCAGATCTTAAAGTAATAGCAGCCAAATAACCTAATAACCCAGCTGCTGGGATATCTGTTAATCAAAGAACAAAAGAAAAAAGAGGAAATCAGTAACTTTTGTAGCTGTAAGGATTCATCTATATTTAATTTAGAATTTAGTGTTTGATAACTTTATTCAATTTCTGTATATTTCTGAAGGGCACAGGTAAATATGATGCTTATTATAATGAGTTTATCTGAAGATTAAGTTCACTTAAATTAAAAGTTGTTATTTTTTTAAAGTCTAATAAATGTTACAATTGATAGCTCTCAATTATACTGTAATGTTGAATGGCTATAGTCAATGATTAAATATTAGGGGGGGAAAACAATTTCCCATAGACATCAGTAATATTGGTATCAGCGATACTTGCCTTCAGTCATAAAAAAAGATGCCATTAAACAAATATAAAAAAAAATATGCTGGCTTTATGTTGTTTCTACATTAATTTGAAGATTGAATATGAAATTATTCCAATCTTTTTTTGTTTAATTTTTACTACTTTTTTTATTTTTTATTGATGTAATTGACTAATGAACAAACTCATAACAGTGAATGAACTTTTCATTTGTGATGAATTGTTTCTGTTGTTGTTTGTTGTAGCTGATGCCATCATCACAATGTCGGAACGCACCAGGATTCTTTTATCAGATCTCACGCCAGTGGCTCAGCCAGCACAACATGAACCTCCTGCCCTACCAGAACAAGAAAGATCCTCTGCAATAATCAACATCACATGCACACACACTCTTACAGTTGCACTGACACACACTACTTCAGAAAATTGAACTTTTAAACAAAGTACGCACTACTGCCTGCATTCATTAATGTGTACGGAAACAAGCACAGGTAAAGTTTTCCAAGCGCTTTTTATAAATAAATCCAAGCCTGTTAAAAAGTGTGCTTGACAAAAGTACTACTACTGTATGCACACTAGCTCAGGAAGGAATTCTTAAGTTACTTGATGAACACACTTTGCCACAGATTAAACATAAAAAGGAGTCTTTTCACATAAGCAACAGAAGAGAACTAACAAGTGCCTAAAAAAACAAAATCACTGTAAACCTCAAGTACAGGAAGTTAACGCAACCATTTACTTATTTATATATTCCACTGTCTGCTGCTGCTGCCTAAGCTCATGGCTTACTGTTCGAACTGACATCTGAAATGTTTAAATGTATTTGGTATATTTATATTGGAAATATTTAATATCTTAAAGATGAATATATTAATATACAGTTCTATTAGTTGGTGCCCTGCATTTTAGAGCAGTTTGTCTTTTTAAAAAAAAGCAATAAAAAGAGAAGTTTAAAGCTCTTCAACGGCATATTTTGTTTTATTTGTTTGTTTGTTTGTCCCGTATGGCTTCTGTGGTATATCTGTAGTATAACTTTAATTTCATATCAAGACCATTTAAATACATCAACAATTTGTCACCAAATTGGTCAAGTTAAATTTTTATCTGTTTAAGCCTTTTGCCTGATTTAGTCTGCCATCATACACCTTCCCCTTAAAAGCTTAAAGATTGGTACATTTAGCTTTGTGTGGCAGTTCTGGTTTATGATTCTGTCAAACTTCCTGTCATTCAGAGTGTTCGCATTTAAAAAAAAAAAAAAAAAAAGCAGAACTGCTCTACCTTTTATTACAACCTAGCAAATGGGTAGTTCACAAACAGTTAAAGGCCAAGTGGAAAGTACAAGTTACAAACACACATTTGAGCATCCGTTCCCATGCTCAAAGTCCTCACCACAACAAAACATTTCATGCATCAAGTCCTGATTCTTCAATATAATTTCTAACACGGGGCTCTTCGTATAGTTTTTTTTTTTTTTTTTGATTTGCATACAGAACATGAAGAGCTGATGTGGTGTGGTGTAACCACATTTATTCCCCCTTCTTTTATCAAGACGGTGATAAGATGTTGTTTGTTTTACATTTGTAATACCAAAAGATGTTCTTTTTAAAAGTAGAGTTATAAATTCCTGAAGCTCAACAGGCAGAGCATGTCGAAAACAATGGCAAAGTTGTAGTTTTATTTCTCAGGGAACATTTTAAACTGATAAAATGTATTGTAAATGCACTGTAATCTTCCAAATACATAAACTTCTAGGAGTTTAAAAGATAAATTAATCATCAAACTGATGCATTTGTTCACCTTTGATATGTAATCAATAAATGAGGGGTAACAGATGGGTTTTCAATAAAAGTTAACTGTCTTGTGTAGTAAAACAAAGAAAAATGGCAGTGGCCAAAAAGGAAAACTTCAACACTCATATAATGCACTGGGCTTGATCAGACTATCCATGAGTGGGAATACAAAAACATTGAAGTACGATCTGTAGTTTCCACAAATGTAGTGTAGGTAGTAACACATTGTTCATTTATGTGTACTGACATTGTAAATATTACAATTGACATTACAATACAAAGCTGGTTAAACATCAGTGAACTTATCCTTTATATCAGAAACAAATAAGCCATTCTCAAGCCCATGTGTTTGAGTGTGTAACTACGTGTCTTAATGCAGGCACACAGTCCGTACATGTCTAGACTGTCACCTGCAAACAGAAAGACATCCTCTTTTTCTGCACATCAGCACCTTACTTAACCTCTAACCATTTCCTCATTACGTGTCTGTGGCTTCATGCATCATTTCACACCAAACTCAAAAACGTCTATTTCACACTTGGACTTTGCTAAGATCTACTGTATTTCTAAGAGCAAATAGTACTGATGAAAAAAAACTGTCAGGTTTTCACTTTCAAATAATTGTCTCTAAAAGTAACCATTAGTAAAAAGTAATAACTTATTTTCCTTATTTACAAAAAAAGGTTAAAAGAAATATCATGCATTAAAGGGATAGTTCACCTAAAAATGAAAATTACCCCATGATTTACTCACCCTCAAGCCATCCTAGGTGTATATGACATTCTTCTTTCAGACAAATACAATCGGAGTTATATTAAATAATGTCCAGGCTAATCCATGCTTTATAATTGGCGTGGATGGTAGCCCAAAATTTGAAGTCCAAAAAATTG